CGCAGCAATTCACAACTTTCCCCCTCGTTCTATTTACTCTATAGGAGCGATCCGACTCGGATCGTATTTGATGTGTCGGTTTCTGTTTTGTTTAAGCTTTGACTTATGTTTTAACAACAATCTATTTATCACTTTGGGAGCGTTTAAGCGCAAATATATAAATATTGATATAACCCAAAGAAAAATTGAAAAAATGGTTCCGCTGCGAACCAAACTGACTATTTATGATAAATCGGGAATACTCAAAATGAGTATAGGGGTATTTCAGATTTGTGGTACAAGTGGATGTGAGTAACGTCCAGAAGAAAGCGTATCCGACCGTATAAAGTATATATATTCGGTATAAAAAGACCGGTCGTATTTCGAGTAACGGAATTTAACGGCAAAATAAACGGCTGCACCTTAACCGTTTGCCATTCGATTTTTACAAACGATACCATAGACGACGCCCAATTTATTTAGCTATGCCATACGAGCAAGGTATGAATTTATTTTGATTTTTCCTGAGGTTTGGAAGTTGAAAGCTTAATATTTTCATGACGACAAGCGTAAGCTACAAAGTATTAAGAAAGGATTTATAGCTGAATTTATCTGCTTTTCAGAATTATAAATATTCTTAAAAAAAAAAATTATTAAACATTTTGAAGGCCCCATATCTATAAAAAAAAGCCGGTTTATTTCACAGCGGAAATGTGGTGGTGCCTAGAGGTATTTATACGTATAGAATGTCTAGCCACACACGCCCAGAGCCAGCTGGGGTCAACAAACAAACCACATTTTGGCACAAAACATTCAGTTTAGAGTCTGGTTAATATATGACCCGACTTGATAAGCGCTTTCCTTCTGCCAGATAACTTTCCCAGACTGCCTTGAAAACTGGAACCAGTAAACAAGCGAAAACTCTTCTACAATCTATCTTCCATCTTTTGTTATCAGACAATACCCTACCATGTTGTTTTTGCAATGGAAAAGTTTTCAATATGCAAAAGCTTCACCTACACTTTCTCACTCTGTCTCTCTCTCTCTCTCTCTCTCTTTCTCTTTCTGTGTACCTCTATCCCTCTCTGTGTCTGTCTATGACCAGGTGTTTTATGGAGAAAAATATTTTCATACATTAAAGTTTTACGGAAAAGACAACAAGAATAGGAGTAGCCAACAGAAACTATGTGTCCTTGGTTCTTGGAGTCTTGTGACTTATGGAGAGTTACTAAAGGAAAAGGTACGCCATCTTGTTAAGTTTGTGTGCATTAGGTGTGACAGAGACCAACAAACATTGAAAGAGAGCGAACGAGGTGCCGGTGAAATATCTGGCAACACTTACAGGCATCCCGCAAGAGTAGGTGGCTCCGCTTTAATATTGCAAAGACGATTCATTTCTCAAATGGTCGGGCAAAAAATAGATATAAATGCATGTACGATTATGTACGACATGTGCCTGGCTATTTAGGTGCTAGGATCCTGTTTGCCACCCTGTCTACGGAGCACACTCCGCTCCGCTCCTGTTAACTGAAACTAAACAGTACAAGCACGGCTGTCAACAACTGTAACATTTACCGCATGTCGTCCAGCTCGGCGCTGCATGACAGGACATGTTGTGGCTACTCGGGGCACCACACACAACTGGCATCCTTCGTCTCTCCTGCCTCGGTCCTCGTTTCATGGCAGTGATAATGCGTGTGTTCGTATGGTCGTATGGCCCTTTCCCTGGCCCTGGCCCTGGCCTGACTCAACTCCCAAAAAGGAGGACATACAGCAACACCGCTTGTCTAGCTTAATTGTTTAAATGCATTCTAAATTAGTTTGGGCTAAAATAAATGCTGGACCCTCCAAGACGTACTTGAAGTACACAACAGCCCAGAGGTCTAGTGGAGGATAATGAAGAGATTGCCATTTGATGGTTAACAAATTTTAATATTAATTTTTGAATGGAAAGTAAATTTCCATATCTCATTCCCACAGGAAAGTGGCAGCGCGAAGGTTTTGAAAAAGTCTGAAAAAGGCGGAAATTTCTGCAATCTGTTCCGAGATAACTAAGGTAAGTTCTCTTCATCTCCAGTGAAAGTATTCTTGACTTTTCTTTCAGTATTCCAGTATTCGCATAAGGGCTATGCGTGCAGCCTGGAGCAGTGGCGGAACGCTATCTGTGGCCGTCGCAAAGAAAGATGGAGCAAACGGAGGACAGGGCCAGAGTCTCGACTACCGTTACCGCTCTCGTTAGTTACTACACTACAAGCGAGCGTTGAACTCTAGAAGAGACAAGCAAGCCTCTTGTTTAACGACCCGTCCAGTGAGTGAGGGCACATACAAAATACACACATTTAGACACTCAGATATTGCTGTTGTTGCTGTAGCCAGTCAGAAGCAGATACATACAAACATACATACACACATATCTTCTTGTAATCGTGGAGCAGTTGCAATCAGTTGTGCTAAAACTCTTCATATCAATACATACATAGATGCAAGCTGATCTAATTATTTATTTCTGCTCTCCAGGAGAGAACGCTGAATGGTTGATTATATCGAACTTAATTATATTCTCTTGTCTTGAATGTCTGCTTTTGGAATGGACATGTTTGTTCTAGTGCAGTAGTATATAAATCTGATATCTTCTAATATTTTGCTAAACTCCTCCGAAATGGCTCGACCAATTTTCGTGAAATTTGGTGTGCTTATCGGTTAGGTGTGCGCATCGGCCAACATCTATTTTTTATCCCGATCAGACCACTCTTCGGGTACCTATGTCCTTTTTTTTTGGGAGGTCTTTGTTGCTAAACTCATCCGAAATTGCTATGCGCCAATCTGAGCCAATAAAACTTTTTATTACCCAAATGAAATCCCAGTAGGCCGAAACAAAAAACCAGTCCTGGCGCTCTAGCTCTAGCTCTCATAGTCTCTGAGATCTAGGCGCTAATGTTTTACGTTAAGCAAAGCCGGCTATGCTACGTGTGTGTTAGAGAGAGACACGGCGAGAAAAAATGAAATTTTTTTCTTGATGCTGGCTGTATTAATGATACGATCCAATTCAGATTCTGCAGTCTAAAAGATTCTCTACGATTCTGCGTTTTTGGTTTTCTCGCATCTGTAAAATTGAGGATTTTCGTTCTTTGTGGGGGCGAAAATGGGCGGGGCGAAGTTTTGAAATATTTTTGTATCAGTGCCATATCACAGAAGTCTGGATCCATAACATCGTTGCTCTAGTCCGTATAGTCTTTGAGCACTAGGCGCTAATAGGGACGGACAGACGGACGGACGGACAGACAGACAGAGCTCAATCGACTCGGCTATTGATGCTGATCAAGAATGTATATACTTTATGGGGTCGGAAACGATGAATTCTGGACGTTACACACATCCACTTTAACCACAAATCTAATATACCCCAATACTTATTTTGAGTATCGGGTATAATTATCTTTGAATAATTTTGTAAAATAAACGCAGTTCATGCTTTCACGTACGTTTGTGTAAGATATTAAAAATACACTGTATTCCTAACCTATGGCTAACGAAAGCCAAAATTACTATACACATTTCGAATTTTTAAGTCTTGCTCTATACTGAATATACTTCAGAGTGTGAAACAATCATCAACCAGACAGCCAGGGTTCGTTCGAACACTGATTGCTTGATTGACCACTTGAGGGAGTGGCAAACCTCAAACCACACAGAGATATATATGTATAAGAGATAATCGAAGTATAGTTCTCTTGTAGAGCCAGTTTGGAGTCGATACGGCTCTATGGTCACGGCTTTGGTTAGTAAGGTTCTATGCCCTTATAGCAGCGGCTTTTCTTTAAAAATTGGCCACGCCACCATCACTGAGAGCTTCCAATCTCCCAGTCCTAGCACCTCGTCGGGAGGTATACGTTCGCTCTTATCTCGATTCATAAATTAGAATTTGCATGCGATTGCAACATATGAATATGTGTATGTATTTGCTTGCTCTCTCGGTGTCGGTATATCAGTCTTTCTCTCTCCACTTGCGCCGGTTCTGCCGCTTTGAGCACGCAATTTATGGGATCAAAAAAATAACCGAAAATAGAAGAACAAAATATGTTTTTACCAATTTCTGGACGATTATCAAGAAAAATGAAAAAGTATGTTGGCCCAATTTTCAAAGTTTCTCTTCGTCGTTTTTGACCAATAAATTCTATAATTTATTGGCAGCAAATATCCTTATTTGCGATAGCAGCTGCAGCAAATATTTAATCAAAACGCTTCAGTTTAAAGGGAGCAAAAATGTTCGCTGGAAAACAAACAGAAAATTATTTGACAAACGACAGCCCCGACAGTACGCGGCTCCAGAAAAAGTGTGTGCCCTTAGGGGGCGCGGGGCGGACAGTGAAGTGTATTATCACCTCAAATATATGTAATAAAGTGCCGGAGAGGCCTCTGACACAAAGCAGATACTCCGCGCCCTCTCCACTCACTCCGATATACACACAGACAATGGCAAACATGACACAAAACGGTTGGGAAAAAGAATAGGTAGCATATGACAATGGGGGAGCAGCTTGAACCCAATCCCGAAACCGAACCGAAGCCCCAGCCTAAAGCCAGACCAGAACAAAGGCAAAAGCCAATGAAGTTATCATTGTGTGCCAGACAAGCGAACAGACGGCGCTTGGGGAGACGGCGGCACATACAAATAAATAAATTACACTTGGGCAGGAAATTCATCTACTTAGTCCCCGCAGGTGGATGACGCTATAGCCGATGTCAGTAACATATGTATGTATAAAAAGTTGAACTTGGAGATTATAAAGAAACAAAAACATGGTTTTGGGTGGGCCTTTTCGAAGGAGTACTGATACGAGAAGCATGTACTTTGGTACAATAAGTTTTTTCGAGTGGTATCGACTACGAAGGAATGTCATCCATAGTTTGATGCTCAAAAGCAACATTGATTCACAGCAAAATTTTATAATCCAAGTAGACGATGTCTATAATTTCAAAAACTGTCAGACGTAGTTCATTCCACACTTCACGAGAAGTATCGATAGAATAGGTAGCGGAAATCTAAACTATGTCGAAGCCAACAAGCATCAAGGACGCACTGTCCCGCTGGGAGGAGAAAAATAAACAGGAGGCCATTAGCGCCACTGATATTGGACTGCAATTCCAGTATCCGCCGATAGAGAAAATGGATCCTACCCTGAGCACTCTGGTGGCGTGCAACCGCCTGAGTCTGTCCTCGAACATGATCGAGAAGATCAGCGGGATATCGGGCATGAAGAATCTGAGGGTGTTGAGCCTGGCCCGCAACAATCTGAAGAACATCAGCGGCATCGAGTCACTGGGCGAAACCCTGGAAGAGCTCTGGGTCAGCTACAACATAATCGAAAAGATCAAGCCGCTGGAGTCGATGAAGGCTCTGCAGGTGTTCTACATTTCCCACAATCTCATCAAGGACTGGGTCGAGTTCATGCGCATTGCCGTCCCCCCGAATCTCACCGAGATCACGTTCACTGGCAATATTATCAGTGAGAACATGGAGCCGGCTGCCTTTGTAGCCGAGGCTATCCGTCGCTTGCCCAATCTGAAGAAACTAGACGGCGAACCAGTCATTCGCTAAAGACGCTTAAGGCCGCCGATGGCCAAGTGAGTGCTACATTTTCTGTGAGTCTAATTGTGAATTAATTGAGCTTATTTGCAGGAAAAGCGGTCCCAATATCGAAATGGACAGCAAAAAACACATAAACACAGAACAGAAACAGAAACAGTACAGAACACGGAGCACGGTATCCCACAAATAAGCAATGCAATCGAAAATAAAAGAGAGAACAATGTCTAACCCTTTGACCTAAGCCTGAATGTTTAAGCTGAATCTCCTCCGCCTTGTCACGCCCACAAAACAAGGCCAACGTCAGGGACCACACCACCACTGATAGCCTCTGTGTGTTGGGCATTTGTGCCAAACCATTTTTGCATTCAATTTCTTATGCTTTACAATTGAGAAGCAATGCGAGAATTTTCCAATTTTCAATGCACTTCTGCTGTAGCTGCTGATGAGCTCCATTGTTTTGCCAGCCTCCATTGATACGTCCAAGCGAAAGGGCTTTTCTATACCCTTTTCTCCATACCCGTTGAGGGTATCTCTACTCTACTCGCTTTACTCTCATTAGCTATTTTGAAGTATTTTCTTGATTAGAAACGAGTTTCATGTAGGCGGTTCGCTCGTTCTTTTAACTGATTTCCTTGAGGAAATCGCACATTTCCTATGAGTTTGGTAGAGTGTTATTTTCATCATCATACTTGAACTGATTCTACCGATTTTACCGAGCAAGAGAGAGACAAGGGCAAGTTCCATTTATTCAAGCTCCGGTGTACGGCATTGTTGTCTGAATATTTCCAAGTCGAAAAAGTAATGTGCCCATGGCTTTTCCTGCAACCTGCATCAAGGGGGCGTGGCCTGTAAGTTTACAGACTTTTCAGATTAAAGAGGGGGCAGAACGAGAACAGCAGTTGCTGTAATGAATTCAGTTCGAAGTTGTTGAGTTTTTATTAAATAAATAATTCAGAGTATTGGTTTTATTCAAATGCAGCAAGCATAGGCCACATAATCCATCAGCAAATAACAATAAATTTTTGATACCCAAACATAAAACCACAGATAAAAGTTCCCAAAAAGTGAAAACAATCGAAGACTCAGAAGTCGACTTGGATTTCCCTTCCGTCTGCCGTCTGCCGAACTCGTATTTATTTTCTGTGCATAAATAATCAACAAACACTGTGGAGGGAGATGGTGGACAGGGACAGACCGCCAGACAGATAGAGATTTTTGGCAAGCAAGCGACTAAACAAAATATATGAGAATGTGAGTTTTTCGTCTGCCAACCCAAAAGACACGAGATAAAAACGTTGAACAAAATCATAAAAACAGCAGCCAGGCAAAACCCAGCCAAAACACAAACCAAACCGAATCAGCCCAATTGCCAGACACCAAAGTTTAATGATACTTTTATGTCTTTTCGATTTAACAACTTTTCTACTCGTACTATTGTTGTTGGTGGCGGTGGTGCTGCTGCTGCTGGTGCTGTTGTTATTTGATAAACAACAATATTAATGTAAACATGAAGGCCTGGCAATAGTTCGACGTTTTGGCAGACAAACAGCAAACGAGACAATTGTACAATTGAATGCACACAAAAATATTTTCGGCCAGGCGCAGACTAAACGGTTGGCTGATTAGGCCAGCAGCCGAAAAAGAGAGAGAAAGAGAGAGAGAGATTGAAATGGATTTTGAACTTAAAGTGCATCGTCATTTAAAAGGTCTCCGTTCCTAAATCGCAATATGAACCAGTGAGATAAAATCAAATTTAGGGTATCATTAATTAAGTTAAAGGTTTCTTGATATCAATATATTCGATATTCGATAGTACTATGAAAAGAGTTCGACTATTAATTGCCCCCGTATAGATGTACTTATGCAACAGACCCGAAGAATGGAATCAATGCAGTCCACTTGAAGGATGAGCATACTTTCTTAGCGTTGGTCTTAGTTATAATTACGTTAGAGTTTCCTATAAGACGATGAATCTGCAAGACTTCAACAGTACTAGCAGAGCTCGAGGCTGGTTCTTGTTGGATTTTTTTTTTTGTTATTCCTCCTCATGGGATGGACTGATTCACTGATGTAATTGTTGCTATCAATGTTTCGTTATATTGGCCAAAGGCTTGCAAGATGTGATTTATATTAGAAAAATATATATGTAGATGCATTATAGTTTAAAAGAGAAATACATACATATGTTTTAATATGTTTGTCTACACAGATATCTTTGAATTCTAGAAAGACTTTGGATCCAGCTAATACTCGGATATCCAACAGATCCCTCAGTACGAAATACGATCCAAAGAATGTAATTTTTCAGACTGACCGCAAGGGCAATGCACCCGATGGCTTGCCAGATAAATGGCGTCAAAGAGACCGATTAAAAAGGATCTACATATGTTTTGTTGAATTTCCTTAATAATTTTAGTTTTAATTGGACTCAATAGTTTTCATTTATTTTTTGAAGTAACATATTCCCAAGAAAGTCTTTAATACGAGACTCGTACTAACATTTACATTATATATTGTATATTAAGAGCCGTTCTCCACATGTTCTCTTAGATTTAAAAAAATATTTTATTGCACAAATCTAAATGCCAAATGCCGAAGGGGTTGGAGTGGATGTGTTTGCGAAAGCTTATACCAAATTTACGTTACAAGTTTGTGCGGCCAGCCCCGGCTCTGGTTGTTCTTGTCCTTGTCGTTGGCAACTCTGGCCATGACAACCCCGAACCGAACTACAGCACTCGACTGCCCCAACTGTACTACCCAGCTGTACGGTACCCAGTACCACCCATGTGTGTGGGGAGTGGAGTGTGCTGGCGGGCTAGAAACTTGGAGTGGTTTTGCGCTGTGGTTGCGCAATCGTCTGTGTTTGTGCTTCGGTTCTTGTGTCCGTGTCCGTGTCCGTGCTCTGGCCTGCTCTTGGGCTTGTTTTTTTACGTTTTGTTCACTTGCTGTGGTCAACGGTTGTGTCGGTGTTGCCAAAGTGTTGCCATATATTCTAAATATGTTGGTAAGCCCCTCCTGCTAGCCAGTTTCTTGGGAGTGGGGCTCGAGCTCGGGTTCGACTGAAAATTGCAAAACGTAAAAGTGGCCACAACGACAGTTAAACGCAAAACGGTCGAAAAAGCCACTTGGCAAACTAAACGCGTGATTTATGCCTCACCGATGATAAGAGAGAGAAAGGGTTAGAAAAGCAGGTGCAAAAAAACGAAGAATGGAAATGGATATATGTAGATAAAGGTGTAGTTTCAGTGTCAGGCTGTTTTGAGGCGAAACGAGCTACGAAATGGTCAACGAAAAAAAAACTATTAATTCGTAGGTTTACTTACATTTAATTCTTGACAGACCAATTCAATATATTTGATATATTCCAGGGTATCCAAATCTTTTCATAGTTTCCGCAAGTAAATGCTCCTTCAAGGAAACCCACATACTTTCATTTGGTTTCCACACTCTGTTAGACACTTATAAATCTACACCAAGGTTACTTTGCTGGCAGTGGCATATCTTTAAGATACTTTAAGCCCAGCCATAGACACATGAAAGAGAGTGGCTCTGCCGATCTCTGGCATACGATTCCACATTCACATCTTGCGTCTGTCAAAGGAGCATAAATCTATTCAAAGTCTTTACGAAAAATCCAGACAAATGCCAGAGATTACAAAAAGATTTTGGGCAACATGATGCATGGGGCCTCTATTCTTTGAGCGGTAACATGTATGTGTGTGTGTGTGTGTGTGTCTATCCCGCACCACAAATGTAACCGACCAACACATACAAAAACAATTAAAGCCTGATTAATAGTTGCAGCCAACAGTCGCTGGAGGTCCTACCTTTCGCCAAGTACTCTCTCCCAACTGGCTCCGAGCCGTCCTGCCGCTGAGGCTGACTGAGGCTGAGTTATGACTTTTGCTGGCACTCGGCTCGGCCTGTTTAGCATACTTTTAGGCCTCAGACATTGTGGGCCCACTCTCTATTTCTCTCTCTTTTTCCCAGGTTTTGTGATGGGAGGCTCTCTCTCGCGCATAACTCAAATTGTTGTTAATTTTACAATGTTAACCTTTAAACCAAAATAGCGTCAGAGGCATAACATAAATTCATTTGCTCTCCCTACTCTCTCTCTCTTATTCTCACTCTCCATCTCCACGCACTCTGCCCATCTCCATCTCCATCCCCATCTCCATCTGCATTCCACTACGGCAACATAGTATAAATCATTAAATTTTAATGCTTCCCAGGAGATCAATGAACATGACCGCAAATTATACTGAAGCGTGCTTTCAGGCGCATAAAAAGATTTCCCTGCATAAAATGCATTTCATTCAAACAAAAAAAAGGAGGAATAATAAAAAACTTTTTGGTTTGGAGTTGCATTTTGTGCGGGTGTCTGTATCTGTATCTCTGGCTCCGTCCATCGCAAAAGGGCAACAGCTCTTTAAACAGATGCAAAAAAATATAATTCGAAATGATAATATACTGGATGACTGACTGTCTAGACTTTAAGCGTTAACAGACGTGGAAAAAATATAATTTATCTAAAGTTTAAACGGAAAACATTTAAGCCTCTAATATATGAGGAAAAAATAATTCATTTTTTTAAATGTATTCTTTTATATTTGCTCAAAAAAACCTTAGACTAGAATTTGATTCAGATAGACAATAACTTCATATTTTTATTGAATTAAATAATTGTGATAGTAAGATAAAATATTTACCTTTATATATACATATATCTGTATAATTTCAAAAGATATTTATATACAAATCTTTGTATAATTAGCAAAAAGAATAAGCCCAAAATAACCTTCATAAGAGATTGCTGTTATATGTGTATATCATTTTATTATAGATCTTTAAAAAAGTGTCATAAGAATGTTGATGTGTATCTGCAAGTGGCTTGAATGGGGGCATTATGAGGAAGTATTACTGTGTACTATTTGCATTCATATCAGAATATCATTCAACGCGTGGCGTAACGTGTGACCCGGTCGCTGGGGCTTATATCGTGCTGCTGACGGTTCTCCGAGTACAAGTCAGCTATATCTAAATTCATTGGTTCTTCCTAATGATTTGATAGGAGCGACCTGACCGATTGGATCAATTTTTCTACAGTTGGGGTTGGCGACCATTCATCCTCCTGTATATCTAGGCATAGGAACCCGTTCTTACTTTTGTTGCGGATGCGGATCGTTTGTCAGCTACTATAAAATGCAAGGCAGTCTTTTCAGAATCTCGTAATGATATATC